ATACTTTAGGACCTGTATCTTCAATATAGTCTTCCTTAAGTGTTTGTTTTTGGTTGTTTAAAGCAATAGGACATACTTGTCAACTTTACAATTAGGAATCATCTGTACTCACTTCTGATGTCATGTCTGATGTAAATTACATAAATGTAAAATGATTTTGGACTGACTGTACTAATAGTTAATGTCAATGCATACATATATAGATATAAAAGACTGCTTTAACTCACATCAATCATCCCCTCCACTTTAGCAATTGCCTTTCCGAAGATTGTTCCAAGCTGATCTCCCACTCCTGCCAGCAAGAATCCAAACAGAGGAATTCCCAACAGGGCAAAGATAATACAGAAGATGTGTCCACCCTCTGTGTGAGGTGAGATATTCCCAAATCCTGGAGTGAATAAAGGAAAATAATAACAAAATAAGTACTCAAAATGTATTTGAGAAATTACTTTTTCAGAATTGTACAAATTGTTGTTACCTCTTGAGTCATTGTATTTATTTTAAAACACACATACACACACTCAAGCTGCTTACTACTATAATGTAACTTGATGTGACAAGGTGAGACGTGATGATTAAAAACCCAATTGTGCAATTAAAGAAACACAAAAATATCTCCAAAACATGAAGATACTAAACAGTTGCTGAAAAAAAGTATCTTGAAATACAAATAGTATTGTTGAAGTTTTCGTCTTGGTGCCACAACGGTTGTTTTAATAATATAAATTATTAAGATAATAAAAAGGTAAGATCTTAAAATTTATTTTTTTTCTCATTAATATCTTTATTAATGTGGTGAAAAGCTGTGTAATTAGTGAAATGACTGTACATCATGCCTTACATATCTGCCTTGTCTGAACTTCGTCTAGATTCAAAGCAGTTTGTAAGGAACTTCTTTTCATAAGCTTTGTATTAAAAAAACTAAGAAAATATTCAACTCAAATCAATATTTCATGTCTAATTATTTACTTAAAAACATCACCGGGCCCACTCATCGTTTTAATCATACGCTAGATTTAATGATATTGCATGGAATCAATCTAACTGATATAGATATCGTACCTCAGCATTGTGCATGCTGCGTATTACTGATATTAACTAGATGGCTGCTTTCTGTACCCATAAATACACATGAACTAGACAAAATGACTAGCAACATGGGCACTATCTTCTCTACTACATTAGAAGCTGTTGCCCCCATCAAATTGAAAAAGGTTGGAGAAAAACGTACTGCGCCATGGTACAACAGTAATACCCATTCTCTCAAGAAAGAAACTCGTAGTCTTGAGCGCAAATGGAGAAAAACTAACTTGGAAGTTTTTAGAATTGCATGGAAAAACAGTATGTCCAGCTATAGACAGGCTCTAAAAGCTGCCAGGGCTTAGTTTTGCAATTGACAAATTATCAAGCATTTGTATAGCATTTGTTGCAGGGCCGAGCATATCCACAAACTCATAGAAAATAACCAAAACAATCCTAGGTTTTTATTTAGCACAGTGGCTAGATTAACAAATAACCAGACGCCACCCGATCTAAATATTCCCTCACAGTTTAATAGTAATGACTTTATGAATTTCTTCACTGATAAAATAGATAACATCAGAAATACAGTAACAAATGTAGATTCTACAGCGTATAATACTTTAGCTTCATTCATCGCACCAAAAGATAAACTGCAGTGCTTTACAACTATAGGACAGGAAGAGCTAAATAAACTTATCACTGCATCTAAACCAACAACATGCCTGTTAGATCCTGTACCCTCTAAATTATTGAAAGAGTTGTTACCTGTAGCAGAAGAACCGCTTCTCAATATTATTAACTCATCATTATGTTTAGGTCACGTTCCAAAACTATTCAAGCTGGTGGCTATTATATTATTAAATTAAATTAAATTCGCTATTAAATTCGGATAAGACGGAGATATTACTTATTAGACCAAAATACCATACACAGAATCTCTTGGATTACAATTTGCAACTAGACGGATGTACTGTTACTTCCTCTACAGGCAAAAATCTGGGTGTTATATTAGATAGCAACTTGTCTTTTGAAAATCATATTTCCCATGTTACAAAAACAGCATTCTTCCATCTTAGAAACATTGCCAAGCTACGAAACATGTTACCTGTTTCTGATGCAGAAACGCTAGTTCATGCATTAATGACCTCTAGACTGGACTACTGTAATGCACTGCTAGCTGGTTGTCCTGCATCTTCAATAAACAAGCTACAGATAGTCCAAAATGCAGCGGCTAGAGTCTTCTACCACGCTACAATCCATTACGTTCCCTAAGGTCGCAAAACTCTGGACTTTTGGTATTACCTAGGATAGCAAAGTCCACTAAAGGAGGTAGAGCTTTTTCGCATTTGGCTCCCAAACTCTGGAATAGCCTTCCTGATAACGTTTGGGGTTCAGACAAACTCTCTCTGTTTAAATCTAGATTAAAGACACATCTCTTTGGCCAAGCATTCAAATAATGCATCTCATAATCTTGTACTGCAGTTATATTTGATCAAATGCGCATTATTATTCTAACTACCAAATTTTGCTATAAGTTTGATTGCATCATATAATAGTGTTAATAGTGTTCATCGTCTGTTTGATTGTCTTTAATAGATTTTCCCGTACATTTCTGCCATATGTACATTAACTGACAGCCACCACTGATAAGCTACTACTAAATATTTTAGAAACTTAATTTTCTGTAAAGTTGCTTTGCAACGATTTGTATCGTAAAAAGCGCTATACAAATACACTTGAATTATGTGGCAAGTAGCCATGTGATAAGCAAGATAAACCCCTTCAAGGTGATGCAAGACCCCTCCATTTCATGTCGGGGCCCTGTTCACCATGTCCGACTGGATGTACATTATCCCTTACTTAAAGGGGTCCTATTATGCTCTTTTACAAAGTCTTGATTTTGTTTTGGGGGGTGTACTAGAACAGGCTCTCATACTAGGTTGTTCAAAAAACACATTATTTTTCACATATTTTATATTATTACAACACCTCTCTCCCCAGTCTGGCATGAACGGCTCGAATAGTTCCTGTATCAAATGAAGGCCCGCCTTCTGAAATACGAAATGTGCTGTGATTGGTTAGCTGGTCAAGTGTGTGCTGTGATTGGCACCACTCGGCACCTGGTCGGGAAATGTCATGCCCCTTACCATAGCCGCCTGCGAGCTTCAGTGTAAATATTGCATCAAAATCAAATCAATTTGAGCGCGATTTAAACCCGGAGGATTGTAACCACTCTAAGTTGTCTACCTTGGGAAAGCTAGCGTGTCTACAACATAGTGATAACACTCGTTGCCTTCTCTAGTGCAGCTCAACCAGGTCTCGTCCCATTCGTCGATATTTGTGATATCACAAATCCTGGAAAATATGCGTTGTAGTCCAAACGAGTAATTCGTTGTAGTTTTTGAAAAGTGATTTCTGTTAAATAAAATCTCCTTTTGAAGTGGACTTTGAGCTTTGTAACTTTGCAAATATTTTTTATGATCAAACAGAAACATTACAGATTAACTAACGTTGAAAAAGTGAAAAAGCATAATAGGACCCCTTCAAATATCAGCCATGTGTGAAAAATGACATTTTACTTTTTACTGCAGCGAGAACACAGCAACTATGCATGCACTCAGAGAATCTGCTTCTCACACAACCCATTGTTATTATGGGGGCAGTCGTGGCCTAATGGTTAGAGAGTTAGAGAGACTCGGTACTGGCTGGGATTGTTGGTGGGAGTGAATAACCAGCGCTCTCTTCCACCCTCAATAGCACGACTGAGGTGAGACCCTTGAGCAAGGCACCAAACCCTGGGTGCCCCAGCAAAAATGGCTGCCCACTGCTCCGGGTGTGTGTGTGTGCGCGCACTTGGATGGGTTAAATGCAGAGCACAAATTTAATATGTATTTAAGCTCTTAGTTTCATTAGTTCATTGTCCGAACTCGTCAGTGTTTGTACATGGATGTGGTTATGGTTGTCCTACGATCTCCTGAGTGCTCTTTGTGGATTTATTAGGCACCAAGCACCATTTTCTTACTGCTATTATTCTTCCTTCTACTTTCGCTCTGGAAGTCTATGGCAGTCCATAGAACTGCTTGCAGAAAAGGTTATGAAATGTGGCACAAAGATAGAGGACAGTCTCAATATTAACCATAGCAAATATGGAGTCTCTAACTCAATAGGCCAAATTTGCACTCATGTTTCTGCTAATAACTTTTGAGCTGTATGGTCTAAAAGCAAAATTCTTGTTTCTTCTGATTCCTAGGCTCATACAGAGTCGACTATGAAAATGTTTTTGCATTTTTTTAGAAAAATCTACTTTTCACCAAAATTGGCTCGGATCATCTTCGGAGCATCCTCTGGCAAAAAGATACCAAAAGCTTTTTGATTTGCACAAAAATTGACATGAGGCTAGTTCCCAGCAACGCTTTAACAGATTCTGACCAAATTTGGTATGTGTTATAACAAGCATGACTTGATGGCACATAAGTGGTTTCGGCGAAACCGCACCAACTGGTTAAAAAATTTGAAATTTCAGCTTATAACTTCTGACCAGTTTGGCCAAAATTATCGTAACAATACCTGAGGAGTCTCCCTGTGACACAGTTCATGAAATACAGTCAAAAACACCAACATTTCAGTCCAGTTCATGGACCTTTCATAGCGTGTAATGGCCAACATTTTCAGAATTTTACAATTTATTGTAAAATTACAATTATAATTGATTGTAATTGTAATTACAAAATTACAATTTATCTGTCGAAAAGCAGAAAATTTTAAATATAAGTATGAGAATAAACCAAACATTGCTTGGTCGTGGTTATGGGTTCCAGACAGAGACTATGTTTTTGCTCTCTTTGTCCTTACTGTAAATTTTTCAGCCCTATTTGAACGGGACTAGTTTTCCAGGGTGGCGTTAGAGAAATTAGTGTTTCACAAACATACTTTGTTAGTTTAATCACATGCGAATTTGCCAAGTCTGTGTTTTTCTCACTAAGCCCTATTTGGACAGTAATTGCTTCTCATGTGGATGTCTGTAAAAATAAATTGACATGGCACCTCAGTGATAAAACTCATGGATTTGGATGGCGACTTTTATTCACAGTGGAGAAGCGAGTTCTGTGATCTTACGAACCTGGGAACACGCTGCTCACGTGGCCAGTCGCATGATTGTCTGCTGTACATAAAATGTCATATGCTTGGAATAATGAGAATAAATTCACATTTAATAGTATCCTATTTATTATTTGATTATTAAATCTCCTGTTAAAAAAAATTTGAAAATAGACGCGCTATAGTTGAAATGGTTTTCGGTCTTGCATTTTATTTCTCAAAATGATGGATGTCATTTAAAACGTGGAGACAGAAATAACTTAATGCAACCTCTTATTTAGATATGGTAAACATAAGGGATAAGGTAAAGCTGCTTGGTTTATATTTGTATGCATGCAATTGTTATACATATTTTAAAATGTATTTCATAGGCTACCTCTTGCTGCCATAATAATGACCCATTTCAAATGTGTACGTGCTTTTCTTCTTTCTGTTCTCAACAGCTCCTACTCGCTATGAAATAATGTGCTTCTAAATAGTTTCCAGCATTTCAGCATTTTTTGTCAATTGTAGCGTCTCGACCAATCTGACACACAAATTTTTATTTGATTTAACAAATCAATTATTCATTAGATTAACAAATCGTCACAGTCCCCTCACTCAATAAACTGGATGCCAGGATTTCTGCTGAACACCAGGCCCCCTTGTAATAAATATGCATGCAAATTACAGCAAAGCGTGTACGGTTACCGTACGGTGTTCAGCAGTGGTCAAAAAGGATTTAAACAGTTAATTTTGAATCCGTTTCTTCTTGTAAACTCAGAGATGTGAATTCGGACGGCAATTACATTACCACATGACCTTGAGGTTTGTCAAAAAAACAGTAGGTAATTCGGCCGGGGATTTTTACGTGGGTGGTTAGAGAAAACACCGGCATTCTGACGGACGGCAATAAAATCACAGGCTAACCCCTGTAATTGTTGAAAATAGCTTACATCACCATGAGAAACAATTACCATCCGAATCGGGCTTATCTCTAAAAATTCCAGAGCAAATGACCTACTCTGAGAAATGTTATAATGTGTTATAATGTTTTTATAATAAATTACAATTATATTAATACATATTTCATTAGACAGATACGCCATACGTGATGCACACAAGCACATCACGTCTAGAAAACACACCCACCTCAGTAATAAGCACGGAGATGTTAATCCCGTCCGAATTGGTACATGCAGATATCAGGTGATAAGAATTGAAACTCAAAC